CTCAAACAAACAAAAATAAATAAATAAGTAATAACTGTAGTCCCACGGGGTCAATATCCTCTTCTGGTGGGCCAATGTTCATGCAGACAAAAACACCCATATACATAAAATACACAAATAATTTTTTTAAAAAAGCAGTTGTGAGCCATCTGGTGAGGGAGCTGGAAACCAAACTCAGGTCCTCTGGAAGAGCAGTATCCACTTTACCTGATGGACTGTCTCTCCAGCCTGACATTGTGTGTGTGTGTGTGTGTGTGTGTGTGTGTGTGTGTGTGTGTGTGTGTGTTCCTGCCAGAGAGCACATGGAGGTCAGAGGATAACTTGTGGAAGTTATTTCTCTCCTTTCTTCATGTGGGTCCCAGGTATGGAACAGGTTATCGAAGATTACTTTATCTGATGGGCCATCTCAACAACCCTGTTTTGGGATAGGTTCTCATGTAGCTAAAGCTGGCCTTGAACTGACTAAGTAGCCTAGGATGATGACCCTTATTCCTGATCTTCTGATTCCTCTTCTGAAATTCTAGGGTTACAGGTGTGCCTTACTGCCTCAGGCTGGTTTTGTTTGGTTTAGTTTGTTTTTTGAGACAAGGTCTCAGGTAGCCCAGGCTGGTCTCACGTTTTGCAGCAAGTTCAGGACACTGTATTCAGAATATTAGAGGGCAAAAATATTCTATAGTGCCGGGTGGTGGTGGCACACACCTTTAATCCCAGCACTCGGGAGGCAGAGGCAGGAGGATCTTTGTGAGTTCAAGGCCAGCCTGGTCTACAGAGCAAGATCCAGGAAAGGCGCAAAGCTACACAGAGAAACCCTGTCTCGAACAACCCAAAAAAAAAAAAAAAAAAAAAAAATTCTATAGCTCACAGAATCTCCGGGAAGACCAAAGAACCTTCCAGAAACAACGTGCCAAAGGTCCTGGCCAAGCTGACCTGGCAGAGGCATGCTGGGTGCAGACACTTTTTGCCAGTAAATGCCCATCTGACCTCACTCTCTCAGCCCTAGAAGCCTCTGGAGAGAGTCCATCTGTCACTACACTGTCTTAGGGCCCACTCCACTGCCTGGGGACATTTCTCTTAGGGCCCACTCCACTGCCTGGGGACATTTCTCTTAGGGCCCATTCCACTGCCTGGGGACATTTCTCTTAGGGCCCACTCCGCTGCCTGGGGACATTTCTCTTAGGGCCCGCTCCGCTGCCTGGGGACATTTCTCTTAGGGCCCACTCCGCTGCCGGGGGACATTTCTCTTCGGACCCGCATCTGGCTTACAGCCTGTCGTGAGGCATCCTGCTGTCACAATACCAGCACCTGTCTGTGTAGCGAGCTTGGAAGGACTTCTGTGAATGGGAGGGAAAATTATTAGCGTGGTTACTGCACCCCTAAAGATAACGGCGTGCCCGATAGATTGGCTTCTGTTCCTTCAGTCTTCCGGGAGCCCAGACACCCGAACCTCAGAGGCTCTTGTTCCACACACTGCACTCCCCGAGACCTCGGGCCACAGCCTGCTCACCTGTCTTCCTTCAGGTCCACAGGAGCCACTCCAGACCCTCACATGCTTCCTTCCCTCTGCTGACACCAGGGACCTCAACCCAACCTAGCCACGTCCTCCATTTTGGGGCAACTACAACTTCAACTACGGTGTCCTGAGTTCAGGTGAGCTAACTGAACCCATGTCATTAGCTAACTGAACCCCCAGAATGCCTTGTCAATGAAGGATGTCTTTTGGGCTGTTGTTTGTTTTGAGATATAATCTCTCACACCGTATGTGGTACAGGCTGTCATGAACTCACCATCTAGGGCAGGCAGGTCTGGAATTCTCCGTGATCATCCTGCTTCTTCAGCCTGGGATTGCAGTCATGAGCCCCCACTGCACCTTGTGCATTCTTCTGTAAGTGTTCCCATCCATCCAAAAGGAAACCGACGTTCAGAGAAGCTAACCATCTCTCTGCTTTCTCCATCACTCAAGCAGCCCCCAAGGGGCTGGGCTGTGCCACTCGACCTCTGCAGGGGAGCCCTGTACCAGCAGGAGCTAAGGGCTACAGGTGATACCGAAATGACCTACGAGAAGCCGTACTCAGATCTTCTTCTACCGAGCAACACTCCTCAGACCTGACTTCGGATGAGATGTCTATACTACAGATGGTGTAGCCCCCCAGCTCTTGCCTGGGTCATCTAATTCTTGTAGTCTTGGAGAGGATCGGGGGGACCTAAGATTTTTTAATAAGCTCTCCAGTGACAGGGCAAGTGGAGGAACCGGCTTTCTGTTCCCTAAGGCTTAGCTGACTACCCTAGCCTGAATTCTGGACTGTTCACATTGGGGGTCAGTAGCTGAGATGTCAGAAATCTGAGGAATCACTTTGTGCTCTGAAAATACCATGAAATGGACACTCAGGTGCTGCCACACAGTGAGGGAGTCAGCCTTCAGAATGTGAGCCTTTGCAATCCGCCCCCCACCCCACTCCAGTCTAGGAATTCATCCAGAGGGGCTATGGTGGCGTGCACAAAGTGATCCCAGTCAGAGAAAGGGGACATTCAAATCCACCATCCGACAGGCCTGCAGAAGCAGGCCTCTCGCTTCACCTCTGTGCAGCTGGTGTCCGCGCCTGGAGACAACACAGACTCTGTCCTCCCTGGGTCCTTTCCTGCTCCCGGGCCTTGCAATTTGCCTATGCAAAGGGTTGAGCAGGAAGGGGTAGCTGAGAGGGGGGTGGGAGAGTGGTACCACTGGGAAATTCTATCACTCCAGCTTGGGGCGGGGTGGTATCTAGAATGTTCCATTCAGTCTGACCTGTAGACTTTGATCCCATAGTCAGTGGTTCCAGACCTTGCTCTCCTCTTGTATAAGCAACAGGCTCCCTTGGGTGAGAAAGTTGCCCTTTGACTCTTAGTCCAAACAGAAGAACATTGAGCCAGGGGTGGGGTTGATCCTCTGTCTTCTCCATTCCCCCCACTTTCCCACGGTACCACCTGGGCTCCCTATTGAGTTACCCTAGTGGCTTTTCAAGGCTTTTAAAAAAAAAAAATCTGTTTTTTGTTTGTTTATTGAGACAGGGTCTTAAGCAGCTCAAGCTGGCTTGATTGTGCTATGCAGCGGAGGGTGGCCTTGAATTCAAATTCTGCTGGGATTACAGGTGTGCACCACCACCACACTCAGATCAAACACAGGGCTCCGTGTATGCCAGGCAAGTGCTCTATCAACTGAGCTACGCCCCCAGCCCAGGAAACTTAACACGGTTTCTCAGAGCCTCAATATTACAGACTGAATGGAGAATTCCCTCCTCCACAACTCGTATGTCAAACCTCTAGTCCTAGAGCCTGTAGAAAAGCAATTAAGATTAAATGGAGTCGCCGGGCGGTGGTGGTGCACGCCTTTAATCCCAGCACTCGGGAGGCAGAGCCAGGCGGATCTCTGTGAGTTCGAGGCCAGCCTGGTCTCCAAAGCGAGTTCCAGGAAAGGCGCAAAGCTACACAGAGAAACCCTGTCTCGAAAAACCAAAAAAAAAAAAAAAAAAAAAAAAGATTAAATGGAGTCATAAGAGGGAGGCCTTGATCCTAAGTCTTCTGTCTTTATAAGAAGGAATAATGCCCAGCTCAGCCTCCCTCTGTGCCCACAGGCATGAGACCATGTGAAGACACACAGAGGTAGTGGAATCCAAGCCAGAAACAGAGGCCACCCAGAAACCAACCCCAGTCTTGGCCTTCTATCCTCCTGAGCTTGGAAGAAATAAAATCTCAGTTGTTTAAGCCACTCAGTGTTGTGGCATTGCTCCATCAGTGAGAGCTGACTAAGAGATGCAGCATCTTCATCTGAAAGTGAACGGAAAACTGGTCCTTGCATCAGGAGGTTATTTTGAGAGTCCAATGAGAAAATGACACATGAAAGGCTTGCCTGGTTTCTGTAGCTCCTCTCCGTCTGGAACAGTGTCTAGTGTGTAGTAGATGTTTGATAAATAGATTTTTGTTGTTGTTTGGTTGATTGGCTATTTATTTATTTATTTATTTATTTATTTATTTATTTATTTATTTATTGAGACAGGGTCTTTCTGTGTAGATCTGGCTGTCCTGGAACTCAATCTGTAGACCAGGCTAGCCTTAAACTCACAGAAATCTGCCTGCCTCTGCCTCCCAAGAGCTGGTATTAAAGGTATGCACCACTACACCCAGCTTGATAAATAAATGATTGATAAACACCGCTATGAAAGAACAAGGCAGTCACATGAAATATGAGAGCTTCTGGATTTTCCCTAACCTTTAACTTATCTGATTGGTGGTTACTACCCACCAACAAGTGATAACAGGAGTAAAGGATCAGGAAAAGTGACCGCAAGGGCTCTGTCCATTCCTGTAACCCATACAGGTCTGCAAAGGTGACGCTATCAGAGGGCTGAACCTGGTCCGTCTTTGGTCTTTCTTCTAGCTTGGCAGAAGGGCTGGAGACCACAGCCATGAGAGGGAGAGTGGGGTCCTGGGAGTGTCCTGGATAAAGTCCATTTGGGGTGGGAGACCACAGGTAGAGGCGGACACCATCCTAATACTTAGACTATGCAAATAACAGAAACAATAGGCCCCTGTGCCCTCAGGACATTTGTGGCAGCTCCTAGGCTCTGGAGAGGCAAAAGGACTCGGCTCATCTACCTTGCCATGGTGAGGTTTGGTCCCAGAGGAGCCTCGGGCACCTCACCTGTTCAGACTCTTGGAGATGCAGGGCTCTGGGCAGGGCGAGTCCCAGCTGTACTGACCACTCCCTCTACTCCCCTTCTGCCTCCTTCTAGGACAGGTACAGTGGCAGCAAGGCCCGGTGAGTACTCCTCCGCTTTCTCCTGCTCTTCCCCCGGTCTTCACCTACCTCCTCTTTCCCTGCAGCAGCCGTTATTTCTACCCCATGTGACCAGCCAGCTGTGGCCTCTACTCTGTCGGCACTGTGGCCACCTTCCTTAGGGTACCAACTCATCCCGCAGTGCACCAAAGGCCGCCAGTTCTGCCCCCCTCCCTCCAGTTGCTGGGATCTCAGGTCCACCATGTCACACGGCTTCTGCAGGGAGCATTCACAGTTATAGGTGTGACTAGTCTAGAGTGCAATGTCACCCAGACACAGCGGAGGGTCCCCTTGGGCAGAGCTGAGCAGAGTCTGCTTACAGGTTGGGGCCACCATTGCCACCCGCCAGATGTGTAGGTAAGTGACCCAGTGGGTCATGGGGCCCCAGCAGACTAGGGTCCCCCACCGTTGGATCTCCCTGAGTGACTCTAGATAACCTGTCCTACCAATTGTCCAGTGAGGCTTAGCACTCAGGCCTGATTCTCTTACCTGCCTTTGGTGTAGGGTCAGGAACCACTGCTAGGTAGAACAGGCATCTGCAGGGGTCCCCATGTTTCAACACACCTGTCTCATTGCCTCTGCTGCTAGAAATGTCCATTTTGATGGGTTCCTCTAGGTGTAGGGTTGCAGCCCATAGTTAAGGGCAGATGGTTTATTATTTACCAGAGCGGGAGTAAAGCCTCGTGCTAGAAGTGGGTGGGATGGAGCAAAACCAGTCTATCCATCCAGCTACCCCACTTCGGAGAGAAAATGCACCAAGCCTGTCTTTCCTGCCTGGCCCAGAGACTTGGAGACACAGGGTAAGGCCAGTTGCTGAGGCTGGGGGCTGGGCGGAGAGAGGGAGGCATCTGCTACCGCTACCGGGGCTGACTTGTTCCATCCTCCATCTTCCCTGGGCCCCCAGCATCCCTTCTTGAAGGCTCAGGAGGAGGTCGAAGAGGAGGATAAATATGAGCTGCCCCCCTGCGAGGTTCCACCCCTCAGTCTGGCCCCCGCACAGTCTCTTGGCTCTAAGGAGGACTCCTTGTATCTGGGTGAGGGCTGAGGAGGGAGAGGCTGGGAGGTTGGGTCAGGACAAGAGGGTCCAACAAAGGAGGAGTCCAGGAGGGGCGAGCTCTCCTCCCTCTGCCTGAGCTGCGGTGGGAAGGGCCTCAACTGGCTGCCACTGTGGCCTCTTGGCTGGGCAGAAAAGGCCAGAGGGATGAAGGAAAGGAGGGAGAGGAAAAACTGGGAAGAAGGAGAATGGGAAGGAGGAGGAGGGAGGGGCGAGGTAACCACGGCAACATCGACAAAGCAGGAAGCTCGACCCAGTCCCCAGGGCCTTGCGTTCCCCCCTCTGAAATCTCCGCACATCTTTCCAGCCAGGGTGGGAGTTCCCTGAGAGGCCCCCACCACTGGCATCTCTCACCCACTGGGATCAGCCAGGTGGGGGCAGGGAAGCTGACGGCCTCCAGTTGCCATGGAGACGGGGCTGTCAAGAAGCCAATAAGTAGAGGGGACAGGAGGAGGGAGGGAGGGAGAGATGGGGGCTAGGTGGGGAGCCGTGAAAACTGGGAACAGACTAGGGAGGAACCCCCTCCCTCTCCACAGTTCACAAAGCACAGGTTCTTTTTCAGATCGTCCTGGGCCCCTGGGTCCATCCAAACCGTCAGCACCCCTGCCTCAGCCCACCATGGCCAGAGGACTCCCCACAAATCCTTCCTTCCCTACCCGTCCTGCCTCTGGCTACCACTTCCCGGTGAGTGAATCTTACAGATATCTCATGTGCAAGCCCCCTCCCCCCCACACACGTTTCCATTCCAGGAGTCCTGAAACCCCTGGTGCCAGGTGCATCAGAAGCCAGAGTCAAATTAACAATAGTAGCTCCTCCCACTTGCCTAGAGGGTCCTGCCTTCCTCCCATATCCAACCTGCTTGAGAGGGCACTCCTCCTCTCTTCCATCCCTGCTGGGGTTGGGGGTAAAGCTCAGCTTGCCCTCACCTAGGCTCTGGGCCACAGGACCTCTCTCTGGTCAGAGGGGTCAGCCGCCATCACTCCCGGCTCCCACTGTGACCCGGTTATCCATTTTGAGAAGTATCCCTTTGCTTTTGTATTTTATAGAATAAACACAAATAAATAAATAAACAGGGAAAAATTCACAGTAAAGAGAGGGACCCCAATAGAGGCTGAGAGAAGCGTTGCCCTTCTCCTGCACCTCTCTTGTTGAATGTTTTATAGTTGTCTGTTTGGATGGGTTTTCTGGGGGAGGGCGCAGTTGACAGAGGGTCTCACAGAGCCCAGGCTGCCCTTGAACCCCTGCTCCTCCTGCCTCCACTTCAGTCGTATTGAAAGCAGCACATAGCTCTCCCCGCTCACGCCCGCCCCAGCTTCCTCGCTCCTCAAGTGCCTGCGGTTCCCTCCTCCCTCACTAACCCCATCGTGCCCACAGCTGAAGACAGCAATGAGTCTGCAGCCTGCAAGCCCAAAGCCGGGGCCTGTTTCTGGAAGGCGAGGTAAAGCCGAGTGTCCTCTCTCTTTCCCTGGCTCCTCCACAGGCTAGAGTTTTGGGTTGGCCTGACCTGGGCTTGCCGCCGCCGCACCCCTCCCAGCCACCATCCTTTCTGCTTGCTGAGCCCCCAAGGCAGTCAGTGCAGGTATCATTATCAGCAGTGAAAGAGTGTGCAGACAGACTCAGAGACGTGAACTGTGTGCCCTAGACAGTTCAAAAGCACAGGCCTGACCTCCAGGCCCTGTCTTCAGCCTCCGTGATCTCTGGATCAGGTGAGGGGCACCTGAGAATGAAGAGGTCACACATAAGGCCCTCCCTACCGAAACCTATGACTATTATCTTTCATCACTGGGGGCTCCCTGGGGCTACCACTCTGATTCTATCCATGCCACGGTAGATCCAGAGACTGGCCCCTATGGTCAGTGCCTTGAGGCCTGTGACCCCAGAACCCTAGGATGTCAGGACAGGAATGGACGCTTGAGCCATTCCTATCTAAAGCAGGCTGCAGGAGAGTGAATTTTTCTGCCCCAGGTCAAACAGCTCACTTGAGGTGCAATCTATCTTATTCTCCTCACATGCTGGAAAACCTTCATGACCTTGCGGGTGGCTATATTGGTTTGACTTTTTCCTTTTGTTTTTTCTTTTCCCATCATGAAGTTATCTGGAGCCAAGCCTAGCAAATTCAGTAAGAGATCAAGCCTGGGGACATTTCAGGGTTTCAAAGAGAGAGGATGAGCAAATGAAGTGTGTTCTCCTGGGTCTTCAAAGCTGACTCTGAGGAGCACTGTGACTAAGGGTGTCCAGGTCCTCTCCTCACCAATGCTCATGAGTGCTCCTCAACTAGGGTGCCCAGGCTCACTCCTCACCAATGCTCATGAATGAATGCTCTGAGGAGCACTGTGACTAGGGTGCCCAGGCCCCTCCTCACCAATGCTCATGAGTGCTCTGAGGAGCACTGTGACTGAGAGTGTCCATGCCTCCTCCTCACCAATGCTCATGAGTGCTCTGAGGAGCACTGTGACTAGGGTGCCCAGGCCCCTCCTCAGTGATTCTCATGAGTGCTGGTTCTCCTTTTTCCTTACAGGGCAAGGTGCACCTGCTAGAGTGGTGAGCTCGCTCCTTCTCTATCCTGTAGTCTAGGGATTTTTCTAGAAAGCTGATAGGAGAGGAATGGGCACCTGAGTAGCCTGGGGGAAAGGTCTTCCCTCTCCCACAGGTATAGGCCAGTGGTCCTGAGGGTGTCACCCAGAGTCTCTTCTCCACTCTCTGTGGGCACTCCTAAAAGCGAAATCACTGAGGAGAGGCCCCTCCTGTGTAGATAAGGAGTACAATGCCTTGAGCCACGCCCCGTCAATCAGCGGCTTCTTTCATGTCCCCCTTCCTCACTAAGGGAGGCACAGCCTTCTTATTCCTAAAAGGGACCACAGGTCTAGTCAAGCCCATGGTCCCACACCTTAGGTAACAGACCTTGCAAAGAAAAACGATGAGGACATCTACCTGGAGTGTGAGCCGGAGCCACGTGAGCGAGCACCTGCCCTATCCCACCCCTGAAAGCCCTCAGCTGCCCATGAACACACTCTCTCCTGGCCCCATTTCTGTCCCCTCCAAACCCCACCTGGCTGCCTTCATTTCTGCCTTTAGCCCAGGTAGACCCACACTGTCCCTACAAGGAGGTGACACCCTTAGAGCCCTCGCTGGGTGGAGCCTCTCATCTGATGCAGCCAGGCCACCAAGCTGGTGTCTCCCTATGGTTCAAAGGGCTTCAGGAGAGCCCCTGTCAAAGGGGACAGTAATAGACCCCTAGACTGTTCCGAGCCACTTCTGGTCAGTCTAGACTTCCCTGCCTGGTCCCCGGCCAAACCCTGTGTGCCCTCTCTGTTTTAGTCCCAGCCTTGACTAAGACTACAAGCTCTAAAGCCCTGATCCCCCCAGTCCCTCTGCCAAGAACATCTGGATTGCCCAGGTAAGCGACAGCAGTAGGAACAACCTGAGACACCATGTTCACTAATAACGGAAACTTCAGAGGCCAGACATGGTAGCAAACACCTTCTTTAATCCCAGCATTTGGGCAGCAGAGGCGGGCAGATCTCTGTGAGTTCAAGGCCAGTCTGGTTTACCTAGAGAGTTCTGGGTCATCTGATGCTGCACAGTGAGACCCTGTCTCAAAAAGAATTTTTTTTTAATTAAAAAATAAAAATAAGGTGCTGGAGAGATGGCTCAGTGGTTAAGAGCACTGGCTGCTCTTCCAGAGGTCTGGAGTTCAATTCCCAGGACCCACATGGCAGCTAACAACTGTCTGTAACTCCAAGATCTGACACCCTCACACAGACATACATGCAGGCAAAACACAAATGTATATAAAAGAATAATAAATAAATTTTTAAAAAAAGAAAAAGAAAAAAGAAATCGTCTGAGCTCTGCTTCCCACTTTATTCTGCACAGGCCCATGCTTGGTCACCAGGAGGCTCGGAATGTAAGAGGCTAGTGCTCAGGAGGAAATGAGCCCGGAGGGGTGGGAGGGAGGCCCAGGGTGGGACTTCAGGTTGTGGGTAGCAGCCTGGAAGGCCAGCTCTCATCTGACCAGACCTCCTGTGTCCCAGGGAGCAGTGGATACCACAGTGAAAGGTGAGCATGGACATCTCCAGCCCGAATGGGACTGTTCTCCTAAGATCCCACTCCCTGCCCCCAGCCCTGCAGACAACAGATTACCACCCCCTCCCCCCGGGATCTCAGACCCCACTTCACTTCATCAAGGGGGTCCAAGCAGTTCTGACTTCTGCCAAGATCAGGCCTGAGAGGACCCTCTTGGCCATTTCCCAGGGTCTGCACTAAATTGGGAGGCTGCCAGTGTGTGTCCCAAGATCAGTTCTCATTTGGAAATCATGCAAGGACTGTCTGGTGGGTCCTCCCAGGGTGCTGGGCCCGGGGACAGAGGGAGCACCGGATGCCCTATGTCGGGCTTTAGACATACTGGCATGTCTCCCTCGACTGCCGCACCCACCTGTGAAGCCTTCTTCCCCAGCCCCTTCCTGGCTCCAGCTCTCTGTTCTGCTTCTTTCAGCAGGCCGGAGACTGTCTGCTCCCTCTATAGCCCCTGCCCTGAGCACCTCTGCTGTTGAGGTGAGCACAAGCTGGGGGCAGACTGTGGGTGAGGCCTGTGGGGAGCAAAGTCCTTGCCCAGGAGCCCTCCTGGCCTGGGGCCTGTACCACCACAAGGAGCCTGCACGGAGCACAGTGTACAGCTCCTCCATGCTGCGTGTGCTCCAGGCACAGACACTCCTTGGTTTTGCTTGCAGGGCTCAGTCTGGGGCTGGCAGATGTAAACACAAATAATTATACACCAGGGTTCTCGGCTCTCCATGCCCACCGGAGTGCTTGAAGACATCTCTGAGTAGCTCTGTGTGTTGTATAGGATGGAAGCCTTCTGGGTCAGCCTTGGTACTCAGGGAACTGTGACCGTCAAGCTGCCGAGCGAGCCCTGCTTCACTTCCAAAAGGTGGGCGTTTGTAGACTCCTGGCCTTCTCGGAAACCCCTTCTCCTCACAGCCTGTGGCTGATTAAGCTGGCAGCAGGAGGAGGGCCAGGGAGGCATTCGACGTGATGGGTCAGCTGGGCATTAGGTGCCGAAGTTCATAGCGGGGGTCTCCTCCACAGGACGGAGCCTATACTGTGCGCCTCAGCTCCGGGCCTCACAGTTCCCAGCCCTTCACCCTGGCTGTGCTCCTCAGAGGCCGAGTCTTCAACATCCCCATCCGGCAACTGGATGGCGGGCACCACTATGCCCTGGGCCGGGAGGGCAGGAATCATGAGGAGGTGGGTGCTGGAGGAGTCATGGGCCAAACCAGCAAGGAGGCTCACAGTGCAGCACCTTGGGCCTGGCCAGGTGCTCGTGTGTGTCTGGGGAAAATATAGTTTGCTTCTGGTCCCCACCCTGGGTTGAGTCGAAACGACAGAGGGTGGGGGCCTCTGAGATAGTTCTGTCTATAATCCTTGCAAGGATCTAGTTTGACCCCCCAGAACCCATGTAAAAAAAATCAAGTGTGGTGGTTTGGGTTTATAATCTTGGTGCTGGGGAGGAAGAGAAAGGGGTGTCCAGACCTTGGACTCACTGGCCATCCAGCCTCCACAGTGAGCTCCAAGCCAGTGAGAGGCCTTGTTTCAAAAAACAAGGTGGGGGTTTACATTTAAAAAAAAAAAAAAACAAAAAAAAAAAACAAGGTGGGGGCTCGAGGATGGTTCAGTGGTTAGATGCACTTACTGGTTTAGACCCGAGTTAAGCTCCCGGTACCCACATGGCAGCGTACAATTGTATATGACCCCAGTTCTGAGGGATTCACTGCCTTCTTCTGGTCTCTGCAGGCACTGCATGCATGGGATGCACATCTATTCATCCATGTAGGCAAAACACTCTCATACACATTAAAAATAAGTTAAAAAAAAAAAACTTAACAAACAAGGTAGCTGGGCATGGTGGCACACACCTTTAATCCTAGCACTTGGGAGGCAGAAGCAGATGGATCTCTTTCTTTAGTTCCAGGCCAGCTAGAGCTACACAGTGAGACCCTGTTTAAAAACAAAATAAAGCTGTGTGGTGGCGGCACACACTTTTAATCCCAGCACGCGGGAGGCAGAGGTGGGTGGTTTCTCTGTGAGTTTGAGGCCAGCCTGGTCTACAGAGCAAGTAGTCAGAGGGTAGAGGCCTGACCATCTTCCCGACCTCTGGCACTGTGAAAAGAGACCCACCCTGCTGGTTCAAATCTCCTCCTCCTCCTCCTCCTCCTCCTCCTCCTCCTCCTTCTTCTTCCTCTTCCTCTTCCTCTTCCTCTTCTTCTTCTTCTTCTTCTTCTTCTTCTTCTTCTCTTCTTCTTCTTCTTCTTCTTCTTCTTCTTCTTCTTCTTCCTCTTCTTCCTCATCCTCCCCTCTTCTTCCTCCTCCTCCTCCTCCTTCTCCTTCTTCTTGGTTTTTGGAGACAGGGTTTCTCTGTGTAAAAGTCTTGGCTGTCCAGGAACTCACTTTGTAGACCAGGCTGGCCTCAAACTCACCAAGATCCTCCTGCCTCCACCTCCCAAGGGCTGGGGTTAAAGGCGAGCGCCACCACCCACCAGCAACCATGGTTCAATCTTCATAGGGTGAAGGTGAGGGCAATGTCTTGGGGGGAGAGCAGAAGTCTCCAAGGACTTTCTCCCCAGCAACTAGTAGGATTCAGACTGTCAGCCACTCACCTCAGCTTTCCTTAGGGAGAGACCAGGGCAGAGGCCTAGACCGAAAGCTGTCTTTACCTAGCTCTGGAATCCCGAGGCTGGCCAACGGCATGGCATGCCGGTGCAGTTTCAGGCTTGAAACCAGACCGCAAAAATGGCACTGCACTTTCACGGCACACTGGGGGGAAACATCTAGAAAAATGTCAGCCAGCTCCCCTGCCAGGCCCCACAGCTGCCTTAGGAAGCTGTTGGCAGAGTAAGGCTCGGGAGAGCACAGACGCCCTGCCTCCCTTCCGCAGCTCTTCCCCTCCGTGGCCGCCATGGTCCAGCACTACATGAAGCACCCGCTGCCGCTGGTGGACAGACACAGCGGCAGCCGGGGGTTCACCTGCCTGCTCTTCCCCACCAAGCCCTGAAGAAACGGTGACGCACATCCACCGTGGGCACGTGCGGGCCCCCTCGGTTTCCCCTCCCACTTTGGCTTCTTTGTATCCCCTGCCAGCCCTCCACTCCAAAGTCCCCGCAGGTTTGAAATGAGAGGCCTTGAGCTGGGCTGCCCCGGGGTGGGGAGGTTGCCTCTCCTTAGACAGACAAGGGAATAAATAGGTGCACTGACTTCTCGGGGATCAACACACTCTGGGTGGGGCTAGTTTACCAGCACGCGGTATATTTCAATAAACATTTATTGTCTGAATTAATTCTTTTTTAATATCTTTATCTTCCAGTTACGAGTATTACAGGAGGTGTGTCTGTGTGTGGGTTACGTGCATGTGAGTGCCTGTGTCCTCAGAAGACAGGCATCAGATACCCTGGAGCTGGAGTTAGGCGGGAAAGGGTGTGAGCCACCAGATGTAGATGCTGGGAAGAGCCGTTTGCACTGTGAGCTGTCCCCTCCAGCCCCGTGGATGAATTCTGGAACGTGCTGAGAATCAAAGGTCTTCCCCAGAAGGCCTCACAGTTCCTAAAAGGAATGGAGTGAGTGATGTCGCTGTGTGGGCCTACTGGAAGCGCTAGGCGGCAGAGGGAAGGACCCCATTTCTACCAGGTTCAGGCTTTTGTCCTTCTAGAAGGAGGAGGGCCAGGCCAATAAACCGATGTTTGTTTATGCTGGCCGGCCTTGGCCAAAAAAAGGGAGGGAGGCTCAAGGCAGACTCGACCACCCTGTGAAGTGATGGAATGGAGACAGAGGATTTGTCCACAGGGTTTCTGGAGACATGAGAGGTCTGATGGCCAGCACTTGACAGGCGTCAGAGGACCCCAGGAGACAGTCCCGGATGAAACACCAGAGAAGGCGGAACAGAGCAGCTGGGAGCCTGGGGTGGTGGACGCTGGAGGCTCTGCGACCCGGAGCGGAGCTGCTTGGCAGCCGTGGGCCCAGCAGGGATAAGGGGCCCGGGCTTGGGCTGGCAGCCAGCAACCCACAGGCTGGCCCAGAGCGGGGGCGTCTCCGGCCCTGGCGTGGAGCCTGGAACACCCCGTGCCGGAAGCGCCACGTGACCATGACTCCGCAGAAGTCTGGAGCAGCCGGGAAACAAAGGGCAGCTTAGCGGCCGCCTGGCGCGGGGAGGGGGCTGGCACGGAGGGCGCAGCTTCCCCTGGCGCCCACGCTGCACCCCAACACCTCTGGACCGCCTCCGGGGGAACTGGGGTCTGGCGGTTCAGGGAGGTCCGTGGGATGTCCGGGCGGAAGCCAGGGCCTTGGGATCTGCAAATTCGAGGCGGGGGTGGGGCAGGCCACGTGGGCCGCAGGAACGTTCACGATCGCCGTCGTTCGTCATCACCCTCTGGCAGATTACCCTCCCCGAGCCGTAATACAGGGGAAGATAATTGCCCCTGCACCATCATCGGCCTCCGGTTAGGAGGCTTAAGTGAGGGCCTTCCACGTAAGAAGTGCCTCATGGGCGGGCGGTACTCTGGCTCCCGTCTCCCGGCCTGCTCAGAATTCAGGTCAATTAACTGCCACTGACAAAGTCCCAGCCGGGAAGCAGCTTCAAGCTTGGAGGCTGATCAAGGACGCACCTGTCCTAGAGCTGCAGAAGCGTGGGGGTGGGGCTGGGGGGTTGTCGTCGCCCCCCCCCTCTGTCCCCGTCCGTCCCCCCAGCAGCTGGGGCTTTGAGCTGGCTGAGGAAGTGGGAGGGTAAGGGATTCTCTGCTGCCTGCCAGTCCTGTTAGCTCAGCATTGACTCCTAGGCCCCGTGCCATGGGAATGACTTTTCTCTCTCCTATCACTTCTCCAGCCACCTAGGGACTTCTTGGGGTGCGGGACATTGGCACTTTGGAGTGGATTTTAGGGGTCCCCTTATCTGCTTTGCAATTTCACTCCCCTGGGGGAGCCCCTACTTCCAGGACACAAAAGCCTTTTTATGCTTTTTTACTGAGTTCCAAATCCGTAAACTGGGAGGACATGGCTAAGAACCCTTGTGTTACGGCCCCAGAGGTCCTCTGGCCTTGATTCAGCTGGGTATGGTGATGCACCCCTCGAATCCCAGCCCTCAAGAGGCTGAGGCAGGAGAATTGATAGTTGTTGGCTAGCCTGATTTATATAGCGAGTTCCAGTCCAGTCAGAACTACACAGTGGCACTGTCTCAAAACAAAACCCTGAACAGGAACCAAGCTAACTTTCCATTCCTTGTTCCAGCAAGAATGGAGGACCCAGTCCAGGTAGTAGGGACAGGACATAATTAGAACCCCAGGTGGCAGAAAAGAGCATGGCCCTTAGGACAGCAGGACAGCAGGTGGCTCCATGGGTGGAGTCACTTTCCTGCCAAGCTTGATGACTGTGGAACCCACAGGGTAGAAGGAGATAACCATCTTTGCTAAATTAACCTCTGACTTCCACATGTGTGCTGCGGCAACAGCACTCCCCACTCCCACCAAATAAACCAAATGTGGAAGAGAAAAGAGGCTGGCCCAGAGCTGGCCCAGCACCTCCTCAGCTGACAGATGTGTATCCAGATGTCCTTTTTTCCAGGGACCTAGCCCACTCTGGCCTTCTCCACTTCCTCTCCCTCCTAGCCTTGGCCCCAGGATCAACCTGCCATCCCTGCCCAGTGCGGGGTAGTCAGGGCTCTGAATACAGCTGATGACATGGGTTTGTTGAAAATTCACTCACTAAGCCTATCCCAGTTCTTCTACGTTGACAACCTGGACTTCTTTTTTTTTTTTTTTTTTTTTTTTTGGTTTTTCCAGACAGGGTTTCTCTGTGTAGCTTTGCGCCTTTCCTGGAACTCACTTGGTAGCCCAGGCTGGCCTCGAACTCACAGAGATCCGCCTGGCTCTGCCTCCCGAGTGCTGGGATTAAAGGTGTGTGCCACCACCGCCCGGCATGGACTTCTTTTTAAGATGAAAGTCCAAGCCAAGATGGTCTAATAAAAATCTATTTATTTTTTATTCAAAGAGAATAATTTTATTAGATTTGGGGGTTTTTGTTTTGTTTTTGTTTGAGATAGGGTCTCATGTTGCCCAGGTTGGCATCAAATTTGCTATGCAGCCAAGGGTGACCTTGAACTCCCGATTCTTCTGACTCTACCTCCGATTGCTGAGATGACTTGACATGCCCAGTGTGTCCCGCACTGGGGACTGAACATAGGCCTTCATGAATGTTAGGCACGCTAACAACCGAGCTACATCACTAGCCAATAGTTAACTACTCTTGAGTAATGTAAGTGTATCTATGGATGGCAGGCAACCCTTATATTTTTTCCAGGCCTTTCGCCTTTCAAATGTGAAAGAGTAAATGATGGAAGAGAGAAGTCTGGAGAGCTTGGGAAGTCTGCTATGGAATGTGAGCACTGAGGGTGTGAGTAGGGGTAGGTGCAGGGAGAGCACTCCCCTAGCCTCCTAGGGCAGTGATCAGCGAGCTAGCATGGAGGCAGAGAGAGAGTTGGAGGCTGCAGGTTCTGTAAGTCTAGTGAGGTGGTACCCCTTGACTTTGCCCTGTGTGGCCCTGTCAAGAAATCCAGCCATATTTCCTCCGGTGAACAGGCCAGACTAGAAAATTCCAGGCAGGGTCGTCACCCGAGAGAACAAGTCCATGATAAATGTTGTATGTGACAGATACAAATTTCTCTGTCACTGAGGACCTGAAAGACAAGGGAAGCCCAGGAAGGGTGCAGTTGGGAAAGACGTGACAGGTTCAGCCCAGCCCAGGCCAAACCCCATCTGCTGGGCTCCTGGTGCAATCCAGGTTAACATCCCAGGCTTACAGTGACTCACTGTGGCAGATGCAGCCTGACTTGAGAGAGAAGCATGAACAGAAGAATCCAGGTTTGATCCTGGCTGTGTTTACTTCTGTGTAGCCCTAACTACAGTCCTACAGTCACACACACACACACACACACACACACACACACACACACACACACACACCTGCGCCTTTGCTTGTTCTAGGGATCAAACCTAGGGGCTTGTACGTGCTAAACAGGCATTCTAACACAGAGCTGTTATTGATGAAATGAGTTCTTTTTTTTTTCCCCCCAAGACAGGGTTTCTCTGTATAGCCCTGGCTACCCTAGAACTTGCTCTATAGACCAGGCTGACCTCGAACTCACAGAGATCCATTTGCCTCTGCCTCCCAAGTGCTGGGATTAAAGGGCACACCACCACTGCCCGGCTGAAATGAGTTCTTGTTATATTGCCCAGGCTAGGTTTTGAATTTGCTGTTCTCCTGCCTGGTCCTCCCAAGCAGCTGAGATTTCCCAATTAGAGTCTAGATGACGTTGGGTCTGTTTGTTTGTTTGTTTGCTTGTTTGCCGTGCAGTGGTAAGAAGACAACCCAGGGCCTGGTGCATGCTTAGGTAAGCCCTGTACCACTGAACTGTACTCTCAGCCCTCCTCATTTTGAAAACAGAGTCAGTGATGCTGTGTGTGGTGACACGCACTTATGATTCCAGAGTTCAAAAGGCAGAGGCAGGAGGATCTTGAGTTTGAGGCCACCTTCAGTTTTATAGACTTTATCAGAGAGAGAGAGAGAGAGAGAGAGAGAGAGAGAGAGAGAGAGAGAGAGAGAGAGAGAGAGAGGAGTTAAAAAGAAGAGAAAGAAAACAGTGAATGCCTGTGTAGGGTTGTTATGAGAAGGAAAAAGGATGTATATACTATATGTACCTAACGTAGGCTGATCATGCTATCGGCCAAATCACTGGTACCTAGTAATAATCATAGTGGTGAACAGGCAAAGACTGGTTGTGATCATCTGCGTACCCCATTTTCAGAGGCTCTGCTCCACTCATGACCCCACCAGCTCAATCCACCCCCAAACACATGAAACCTTTAGGCATGGTAGATGTGTAATAATTATTGTTTTGTTGGTCCATGTTATTGCCATTCTCTTCTTGGTAACTCAATACACATGTGCACTCAATGTGAGGACTGGGAGATGTCTCAGTCTGTAAAGTGTCTCCTTGTCAGCAGCAAGACATGGGTTCAGAACCCCAGCACCCACATAAAAACTGGGGACAGTACCTATATGCATCTCTGATCCTAGTGTTGGGGAGGTAGAGACAGAAGCCAGCCAGCCAAAATACAGAGCTCTTAGGTGCAATGAGAGACCCTATTAAAAACAGAAGCCAAATGGAGAGTGCTGATAAAGACACTTGACATTGTTCTTTGACCTCCACGTGTACATGGATGGATAACACACACATACACACACACACACACACACACACACACACACACACACACACACACACAGTGGTGC